GATGCCCTGTAGGAGTGAAAGCTTCACTCACACTCATCCAGAGCTTAAGTTCGTCGTGAAAACGTACAAAAGGAAGTTGGCAGCAGGAAGGGACCAGCCTCAGTGCTGCAGGGACTTCCCAACCAAGGTGTGTGTCCCAAGTCAAGTTTCACATTATTTGGCTCTTTCCAAAGTTCCATTTCATCAGCCAGAGTACCTAAGAGCAGTCGTTGAGATCTCAACCAGAAGATGGGATCCATTAAGCTCCATATTCTGTGCATCGTTCTGTAAATAGGTTGAACATCATCTTCAGCACTGGAGAAGATTAAGCAACAACTCCTGACATGATGTTCTGTTGCTTTAATGGTACCCAGGGTAAGTTATGATTAAAAGGAGAACCAAAGAGTTGGGGAGGGGAACATTTCATCTCTGGTTAGTAATGAAGAGGTCCAAAATAAGATCAAGGTCTGATTGTAAGAGGTTCTCCCTAATTGTATAGGAATATAAGGAGTTCTACACAGTCTAGTTTTCAGACATAGCTCTACAACAAACCCCCCAGAGCACGTGGCAGAATGTTTTAATGCAAAGATTTGGAGGAACAAAGTCCAAATGCATAGAATTCCTTTATTAAATAAAAAAAAAAAGTTGAAGTGACAGAAGGATTACCTGCAGAAATTAACACTTTAACTCTGCAGTAACTCCACTGCCTGCCTATTGCAACAGCCAGACAGAACGAGGGTTAGGAGAGTAACCACTGGTACTTATTATATGGGCCATTTGCTTCTTAAGCAGCTGTTATTCACACACACTTCAAATGCATGTAATGACCTGAGTCCTAATCTGGCAGCCCAGCCTGCTTCCAAGCTCTGCTGAAGTTGGCATAGCAGCTTCCCAGAGCCCTAAGTAGGACGGATGAGCATCACTTGGCTGTACTGAAGAAAGCACTCTACAGGCAGTAGATTCATTTAACTTCCTGACAGCTTTAATAACAATATTTAAATATATATAATTATTTTTAATAGAATAACTTTGCTTTCCACGTGGCAAAGGAAAACTACTACAGCAGCCTGAGGGGCTAAACTATTCTCCATCAGATGAAGGTGTAATCCATTCCCTTCCTAAGTACTGAGTTCCTGTTCAGAGATACAAACTGATGTCATTGCTGGATTCCTTTCAAATCTTGAGCTAAAACTAGATCTTTTCTGGGGTACCTTTGGCTCATTTCAGGAAGGTGAGAACATCACTACAAGAAAATACCTCCTGCTATTCCATACGCTGAGCTCCACTGTTAGGTCTGCAGGAACTCCATTTCAACCATTCCGTATCCCAAAACTCACTATGTGCTTTCCATCAAGAAGCGCAAACCCAAGGTAGCCACACACGCAGACAAATGCAAGAAAATGAAGCATTTACTGCGTGGCTGTGATATTAGACCTCAGAAATAAAAAGAACCCTAAAGGATTCTGTTGATTACTTTGGAGAATAGCTTCATTTCAGCCCTCTGAGCCCAGCAGCGGGCACACATTGCACCACTGGACTGAGCTGTCACCAATGGCACTACTACTCAGACTCAGACCACTAATAGCTTAGGAGGAAAACCACAAAGCACTGTCAGCTGCCCAGCACAGTGGCACTTTCTGCCAGGAATGCTGAGTGTGGCTTTAGCAGATAAAGTGAGATAAGGATGATGCTAACAGCAGGGGCAGCCCAGGGAGGGAGCAGGACCTGATACATGCGCTCCATTGCCTTGCTCAGAGGCACTGAAGATCTGGAATGCTGAAGATGTCTGGCAAATGTGAAATTATGTCATAGGTTGTAACTTAATAGCTTATAATACCACATAAATCAAGAGTGAACGTCGTCTCCATAAGTACTAGATGAAAATCATTAATAAATAATAATTAGCTGTTTCCTGGGCCTGCCATCTGGTAAGCATTTCTCCTAGCCTGCAACTCCTGCTTCTTTCCTGCTCCAACGTATCAGAAGATGAAGGCACGCTATTCTTTCTCTCCTTCATTAGTCCCTTTGGGAAGTGCAGTACCCAGGATGCTGCCAGCCCCCTCCCTCACATGCACAGGGCTTCACAGCTGCTTATCCCAAATCTCCTTCCTTACAAAGCAGCAAAGAGACAGAAGTTATGGAGACCTGCCTTCCATCCGGCTCTGAAGAACGCACGTGCACCAGGACAACCAAATTAATCACTCGAACCTGCAAGTGGCTGTCATTAGTATTATTATTTTCATCCTAGAAATTATCTTCCAGATTAGGTCATATGCATTTTGAGATCCTGCTGTTTCCTAGCAACTCCTCTTACCACTTCACATGCAGACACAGTGTGCCGCTTTCTTTTCCATTTTTAGACTCTTGGTGCAAGGGTTATATTCAGTAACAGTGAGCTCAGGCCTGGCCCTGACGACCTTTAGTCTGCCACATCTGCGGGTGAGATGCAGAAAGCAGCCATCCCCACCAAAGACACTTGCAGCAGACCGTCAGAAAATCCTCAGTCCAGCACTTGTGCCCTGCAGAGCAGAAGTGCTGAGGTAACAGAACTGCACCCTCAGGTGTTACAAACTGGCACCATTTAGAGAAGTCCACCAGCCTAATGCTCTAGGTTAAACGTGGGACAGAGCAAAGTGAAGAGTTCCCTATAAAACACTGCTCAGCAAAGCTTGCATGGGGTGCCCTAAGTGCAAGGCTTCAGCTTCTGTCATTTGCTCCTCGCCTGTTTGTCAGGGCACACCTTTACTCGCAGCTGCAGTCAGAATCCTGTGCCTTGCACCAAGGTGAAGGTGAACCTGAACATCACAGAGAGCTTGCACTGCTGGGTCGGCATGCTTCCCAGGTAACACACTTACACAAACAGGTTTGAAGTATGGCTTTTGTACTGATTCTAGTCCAACTGGGGAAACTGTCTGGAGGGCCAAACCAATTTTAGGCACCAATTTTAATTAACTTCTCTAGCTGACTTAATCAAGATATCTACCAAATTTAATCACGATGCAGGCACGGTTAGGTGATGGGACTCTCCTAGACAGCCTTCTGTGTGAGGAAAATAGGATTAATTTCTGCCCTGCCCCACTGACATTTTTTAAAATAACAGCGTCTGTTCTAAACTACAAAAGCTATGGGGTTTAATTATTAAGATAGCTAGTGGCCCTATTTCAAAGAAGAAAAGAGAACAGACCTCAGAAACGAACCGTCTCCAGTCCATGTGGAGCACAGCTATTAATATTTGATCTCCTGCTAGCCTGGAGGCAAAGGGAATAATGTTCATTACAAGAGCCTAAGACTGAATCCACTTTAACAATTGACTGAACTGATGATGATAGCAACCGAAGGCGACGATGAAACCGTTCCCACTGTGTGTGAGGTGCCTAAGCTGTGAACTCGTACTTCCTGCAGCAAAAGGAGCTGATGTTCTGTCAAGCCCAGAAAGGAAAAGGAAAGGAAGCCTTCTGGAAACAAACAGACTTCTCACATCTCTCCATCTGGTACTCGGGCAGCTGAATCAGAAGGCTCTTCTGGAGACAGAGGTTTAAGTCTGGAATGAGCCAACTTAAGGAATGCAAACTGCTCAGCTCGAGGCTCAGGCAATGCCTGCCTGCAGCCCCTGCACGTTTTCACGCAGAGGTCAGCCTCTGTCCAGGTCCCACAGAAAGAGCAAAGACCTCAGAAAAACAGGAGAACCAATGTCCCGTTCTTGTTGCATCTTCAGTACAGAGCAACTTTCAGACATTGCACTCTTGCATATTCGGAGAGTTCACATTAAGATGGGACCAATGAAATCTAGGTGAAATAGAGAAAAGAAATTCAATTTCGGCCATCCCCATTTTGGGGTGTCAAAAAGCATGCCTGTTTTTCAGGCTGGTCGTAACCTGTGCCTCCAAATTAAGGCTGCCAACCCATATCCTGCACACGTTGTCTCCTGAGAAGCTGCCTGCTGAAGCAGGTGCTCCTCAGGTTCAACAGATCTTCCAAATACTCAGCCAGAGTCATTCATGCACGTACAGTAATAGAGCTCATGGAATTATTACACTCTCTGGACCCACGGCAGATATTTGCCTCTTGGCTTTACTCTTTGTAAAGCACATACCCATTAGCACCTCTAATTAGAAGGGAAAAAAATCACGAGTTCCATGTTATTTAAAAGATTATGCAGCATTTTAAAATACAGCACAATGTAATTATTTTTAATAGCCACAGCTATTTCATGTATTTACTTTTAATGGTGTTTGAGTCATAAATTAACAGTAGAAAAGAAAAAGGCAAATCAGCACTTGACAGAGAAGGAGACAGCATTTGAAAAGATTAACTGGGAAGCTGAAAACCTGAGGGATCAAAAGGGAAGAGGGCCTTATCAGCTTTTTTCTTGCTTTGTTCTGGACTGTTTTATCATTTAACTTGTCCCTCTGGAGGTCAGGGATAAATGAAAGTGAGAAGAGTGTTGATGCAGAATGACTTCTGTCAGTTTGCAAAGAGATGCATGTTTTTGTCCCAAGTCCTGTATTAACAGCTAACAAAGTTAATGAACTAACAGTGCTGGTGTAGAGAACAAAAGGAACAAATAAAGTGCCTTTCTGTGCTGCAGGACAAGGAATGCAGATTTTTTGATAGTATTTCCCAGCATTAAGCCAACAATCCATGCTATTCAGGTGGAGCAAGTTACCAAATATCATTCGGCTCAAGACAAGCGTCTTAACAAGTTGCTGTGCATGTTACCCCCCACAGAAATGACTAATAACTTTTGAAAGAACAAACATATCTGCAGGAACCTCTCTCTTAACCTTTCTCTTATCTCTGGAAAGGCCTCTTGCACTGGCAGATCATGCACTTCAGCTATTTGTACTCAGGCAGGCAGATCTGCACCAGCTGTTCTCAGCCACAGCCTCATCCTTTGAGCCCCCGCTTCTCACCCCCAGGACTTTTCAAGTACAGAGAGAGATCCTGAGACGTCCTTTGCCCAGATACAGCCAGCACAGCTGTGCCAATGTGTAACTGAAGCTTGTTTGTGCCTCCTGCAGAAAGCTCGGCTCGCGAGGATCCGCGTGGCCAAGACAGGCAGCTCCAATGCCTACCTGCACAGCAAACGCAACGGCCTGCTGAACGAAGCCCTCGAGCTGACGGTGAGTGCAAGAACCCCATCCCTGCTCGACCAGGCTCCCTTCTTTCCCCATTACCACCCAAATCACAGAATCACAGAACGGCCAGGGTTGGAAGGGAGCTCAAAGATCACAAAGCTCCAACCCCCTGCCGCATGCAGGGCCACCAACCTCCACATTTCATAGCAGCCCAGGCTCCCATCCAACCTGGCCTTGCACACCTCCAGGGATGCACGGGGCATCCACAACCTCTCTGGGCAGCTGTTCCAGCACCTCACCGCTCTCATAGCACAGAACTTCCCCCTGACATCCAACCCCAATCTTCCCTCCTTCAATTTAAAACCATTTCCCCTTGTCCTGCTGTTATCTCCCCTTTCCAAGAGTTGATTGTACAGGACAGGAAAGCATTCCCTAGCTCCTGTTTCAGGCAGTTTGGTGGTAGGTTTATTTTTAATAGAAAGGCATCTGGAGGCTAATATTAGCTATTCAGGAGGAAAAATCTAAGTGCGTCAGATTGCTCAGCAGAATCAGTGAAAAGGAGGGGAGGTTATTACATTAAGCCTGATCAACACCAGAGCCAGTTTTAGTACATTTCATGGATTCCATTTCAAATAAATCAGCCTTTCTTCCATGCGGGGAGCAAAGAGCAAGATGAAGAATGTCTAATTGAGGCCCCCTGAACTCCTTCATGCATCCTTACTCGGGGCTTAATCCTTCAAACACCTCCTGCTTTCCCTGGCATGCATCCTTGCCAGGGTGTTGGCATCTGTAAAACCAAAGCTGAAAACCCCTTTCAGCTCCTGGTGTTACAAACAGCTCGTTAGGGCCCGAGTCCACTCCTATGCAGTCTCAGTGGCACGCAGAAGCAAACTGTGCATCACATGGGATGCTACTCTGTGCACATGTGGGTAATGGAGTTGGGTCCTTTGCAACCACAGAATTGCTTTTAAGCAGACCCTACAAAAGCACTTTACCCCAAGCACACATTTGAAAGGCAGGATGCCTGGATCACTTTGTTCTCTCCTCCAAAACACGTCCTGACTGCACATCCACCATCTCCTGCTCAACACTGACAGATCTGCAGAGCTGCAACCATATGCTGCTCTCAAGGAAAGTTACTACACTAAGAATATATTGAGACCAGAAAGACAGGTCAGCCGTAGGCCACAGCTTTATTCCCCATACAAGAAAGGCTCAGGAGCAGGACAGCTCAGGTGCCTATTTCATTCCCCAGGAACACACCAAAATAAATTGACTACTGAAGCAAATTTACTACCAAAGCAAGTTTAAAACTTGTTTTAGTGCTTTACATTCCTGCTTTTTAAAAGTGCCAGAAGAGAGGAGCGTGGATACTCGGTTTTCACTTGATCTTCCAGACTGTTATCCCAACATGAATCTCCTCCCATCTCTCACTGACTAAAAATCCCTGCCAAGACCACTTGCAGAAGAGCAGCTGACACACCAACGCTTAAATCCAAAGCGCACAAGGTTACAAGAAATATTTGGCTGGATGGCTTCATTTCCTGGCACTTGTCCAAAAATAACTGGAAAAAGGGGTCATTTTTATTTTATTTATTTTTTTTCCCCTACAAAACTATCGTACACACAGGGAGGATGACAAAAACATTTCTGAAGGGGCTCTGGAGGATTTATTTTGCCTGTTAAAATTTTTAGATATCTAGTAGCACCTAGAGCACTTTGCAAGCTTTCCTGGGTGCAGCTTGCTTTCTGAAGGGCACACAGCTCTAAACGCCACCACAACTCCCCCACAGTTCACTAAGATCCATGATTTCCACTTTGAAAAGCACTGATGGTGCAAATCGCTATTATTATTATTATTAATAATAATGTAAGACAATATTGCCACTCTGGGGAACTTCCTGTTGAAATAGCCAAAAGCAAAGGCTAAGAGGAAGGAAGAATTGCCATCTGCCTGTGGCTTACAAGAAATAATTTACTAGAACAAGAAACCTGCCAAAGCCATGTCTGGCATCTGCATTACTGCCAGGAAACAAGCGTGAGGGCCATGCTCACACCCAAAGCATAACCCAAGTCATGTCTCTCCATCCAGAGACAGCAGCATCATTTCCACTACAGAAGATTCTTAGCTGTAAAGGATCTTGATTCTCACTTCAGCTCCACAAAGCAAGTTTTATGTCCTTCCATTTTATGGCAAGAGAGCAAACTACTCTTAAGAGAGAACAAAAAGTGAATGACAACGTAACCCAGCCAGCCACATTTTTAAGCTGTAAAAACATGAAGGAACGTGACTTCTGTAGTTGCTGCATGAGAAGCCAAAACGTTACCAATATTCTCTGCATAACCCTCAGCCAAATTAGCATCCAACTGCTTTGCTGATCAGGTACACATCCCATTTTGATCCCTTGCCCAGGACTTGTGCTAGCTGTGATGGCCTTTTGTGGCCAGACTGCCATAAGGCTGCTTTGTTACCCAGCAGTGATTCCAACTGCAGTTATTCTATGGTCACAACTAGATGGTAGCCCTTCCTTCATTAGCAATCACAGAATACCACAATCTAGGTATAATTTCTTTACACAATCACCCTGCAGTCTGACACCTCGAGGGTTTGACCTACAGAAAAAACAAACACCCACCTTGCCCTAAAACGTATCCTGGCTGTGACTCTGCAGTCTAAGTAATAAACTGGGGAAAGAAAGGCTGTTCAGGACTCCAGAACACGTACCACAATTTCCTTTCATTAGCACAGAATGAACACACTGACACCATCTTTCAAGGGAACAGCATGTCTTCAGCCTGTGGCCTTCCATCAGAGCAACGAACACAAGAAGGCAGGAATTGATCCAAGGACAGCAGCAGGAGGAAGTTCTGCTGCTAACAAGAACACAGACTCTTGCTTCAGAAACATGGATTTGTAGCATTTTGCATTTGCCATCTAGACACAGAGTACTCAGAGCTTTTTCTTCTCATTTAGAGAGCTTTTTAGTGGGCTTTATGTCAGAAGCGCTCGAAGGACGGTGAGCTTCCCATGGCAGCAGCCTACATATCCTCTTAGTGTTAATCTCCTTGTACAGCTAGCTGAAATTCCCTTTTAGCTAAAGAGCTAGGCTGTGTATATCCTAGGAACAGTAAGTTGTGGGGTCTTGTTCCTTTCCACAAGCAGAATCTCCTAAGCCATAGATAAGCATTATGGTCACTCCCACAGCACGGACAGCCTAAGCACCAAACCAGCCCATCTCAGTACACCAGAGTTCAATTCTGTGTGCTGAAGCACTAAGCAGACGGTAAAATAGAAGTATCTTCCATATCAGAACCAATGCTACAGTGTGTTTCAGTCTCCCTCGAGGCAACCAACAGCTCATGAATGCCTCCCAAGAACAAACTGAATAGGAGCTGGCATCAAACTCTTGTAAATTTAGCACCCCAGTTCAAACAGCAAGCCACCCCCCTTCCCATTACAGAAGACTTTTCTAGTGAAGACACAGATTTTGTCCACCTGCAGAAGTGTGGGTACAAGTAAATGCAATCTCTATAGGTTCCACCTATACTACCTCACAGTAGTATCAAAATGTCAACTGTTTCTGCAGCACTTGGCATCGCTGTTCAAGGGGCAATATTTCTTGCAGACAACAGGTTGCCCTTAATGGTTTCTGAAAGCACTGCTTTGGCTGAAGAAAGGAGAAAAAAAGATAAGGAAGAATCATACTCAGTGATACTACACTTTATCCTTAGTCGCTGCCATCCCTTGATCCATTTCTGTCTGTGTTCTTGCAATGGAAGACAAAGGAAGAGACTGAACTTTGCCACCAAAAATCTGACATTTGGCTTCCTTCTTCTGTCAGGGATCGGAAAGCTTTATATGAGGATTTGCTTGAGACAAAGATGCTTTTGCAATATGTGCTTTTCCACTCTCATTTTCCTGTGTTTTAGTGCAGCCTCATATTTGCTTTAGGGCTTACAAGGACCTCTTTGGGAGATATTCCAACACAGACTTAGCAGAGTCAGTAATCTCAGCAGGGTAGGAACAGGAGCTGCTTGATTTGTTAGTTCACCAGAGAATTGTTAATAAGAAGAAATTCAACTGATTTTTTTTTTCTTAGGCTACTCCTAAAAATGCTTATGGGAATGCTCAACCTTCCAAAACAACAGCAACAAAAAAAATCCATAACCTGCTAAAGAAGAATTCCTATAGGAATCTATTAATTCCGTGCACAGCAAGTCACTTTATAAATGTACCAATTCAGCTCTGTTTTGGCATCTGTCAGAGACAGGATTTTTCCTTCACTTAAGGATCACAGAACCATCCAGGAAACAGCATCCAGAACATGTGTTTGTGGTGAATCAGTGGGACACACGGGTGTAGTTAAAAGCAATGCCTTCAGCACAGCTGAATTTGACCCCCCTGAGAGCAACAGACAAAGCTTGGCACTCCTGCTAAGATGCTCTGCTGCATCTCCCATCCCACCTGCTTTCCCTCCCAGCAGTAGAATGCTGCTGTTTTTGTCTAAGCAGAGACTTGCACCCGTTTTTGACTTTCAGATTCAGGCGCTGCAGGAGACACCAGGCAACTCTTATTTAGGGAGCACAGGGAAACATTTCACAGCATCTAATTGCCATTTTCATGCATTTAATTGTCTTTGAAAATGCTACTCATCAAAGACTTGCTCAGATTGATGTGTCATGAAGCCACAATGAATTTTAACACTGGGGAGTTTAAATGGTGGCGGTAAGAGAGTATCTTTAAGAACCCAGATCTTAAATCTGCCACTGCAGAACAGAGGCAGTGAGAAAAATAATCCTGGCTCTTCGGCATCACAGACGCTCTCTAAACAACCCATCTCTTGCTTCCATTTCTGAGGTGCATCTGATCACAGTGGAAGTGACAGATGCTGCACTTTGAACACAAGCATCTGACTGTGGATCAGAAGCACAGAGCGCTGCTTCTCCCCCCACACCCAGCTCAGTTTGCCCATCTACTGCTGCTCTGACGAATGACCCTCAACATTACCTGCATACTGGACTCCAGCTCTCAACCTCTCATCCACACCTATTTCAGATCTTTCTAGCAGATCAAGGAGATTAACAGAGACGGGTCCGAGATCCACAGCTTATCCTAAGCACTGCTAACACCACAGCTGAGCTGTCCCTACCCCAAATTCCTGCAAGCACACAGCCCTGATGCCAAAGCTGAGCCATCAGGACCTGCTACCAGCTTCCCCCAACACACCAAGGCGTTGCTTCTTTTTCTCTTTAGCTCTTGTTTCCAGAGCCTCCACATCACCTACCTGCAGCACTTCCTAGGCTTCCTCTGCAGCTACAGAATGACTAGAAACACACTGGTTTGGAATCAGAGCTCGTTTGCTCACCTGAGCTTACAAGCCAGATCACTAAGGGGGGAAAAAGAAGGAAAAAAAGAGGTAATCTCATGGGATTCATGAGAAAAACCCGAGAGAAGACAACACGGAAATTGTTATCTTTATCCCTGTGAAAGCTGATGCTGGTGGTTCTTTTTGTGATTTTACACCTGGTTTGGGTTTTTTGTTCCCCCCTCTTTTTCTGGCTCTTTAGGGATCCACTGAAGATGAACAGCATACGACTAAAGGCACCTCCTTAATTGAAAGCCAACATCACCACCTGCTGCACTGCCTGGAAAAAACAACTGTAAGTAGCAACACAACCCTTTCTACATCGTACAGCCCTTGTGCCCGGCCCAGGCTCCACACAGAAAAGATGTGCACACAATATGTTCTGAACTGGCCCTCCATAAGACATAAAATATGGACCTACAAACCGTGCCAGAGCAGATTGATGCTCAGGTTCCTAAGAACACTCTGCCATGGATTAAATGCATTTAGATTTCATTATCTTTAAGTTAATAAATCACTGTACACAAGGAGAAGGACATGATGTCTGCTGCTCCCCAGGCACCAACACCAGTACAAAGTTAAGAGCAGGTCGCTCAGTTCACCTGAATGCAAATCACCTTGCAGCAATTAGGAAGATACTGCAAACGAGGTGCATACTAAGTTTCATTTTTTCAGCTTTCGAAAAAGAAAAATACTGTGTTTGTCTCGTGCTGTCAGTCACACATCATATATATTTGTTGCTTGTGCTAATTAGTAACTCTGGACAGTTCTGCTGTCTTAATTGGAGGAAGCTGCTGTCACTGAAAGCAAGCTACATGTGGTCTTCAGTGCCAACAGAAGACAGAGTTGGAAAAAATAACCTTTAGCCCTTTATATGGAGCAGAGCAGAAGGGTTTAAAGGTTGCAAGTGTTTTTTCTCACTACAAGCTCTGGTTACAAGAGAAGCTAATTTATCTCAAAGCCAGTCGAGCAGCTTCTCTGACAATGATTTTCTGTTTGTGCCATGCAATGTGCTGCCAGAGAGAGAACTTTGTTTCTCACGAGGTTATTCTGTATGCAGAAGTCTCTTGGAACATTTCAGATGTTTATCTGGTACATGTGTTTTACTTCCAGGTTTATATAAAGGGTTATGCAGTAAAGGCACACATAATATACACCGTGATTCATTCTAGAAAGAATGAAAAGAGGTCAACATTTGAAATATTCATGACTTTTTCTATCTGCATCCATCATCAAACGTACTTTTGATTTCTGACTTGCAAGAGCTTTCTCTTAGAGAAATCACCTCCACTTCCATAGTTTGGCTTATGCTGGAATATCACTTAGGCTTCAGCGATACACTGGAAGATGTCTGGTTAATTGCAGTGACCTGCTGGGTTATCACACCGAGCTCCGAAGGTCACCATTCTAAGGACTGAGAACTGATTCTTCCTGTATCAGTGACTGTTGGATTCATTTGATAAGACTCATCTTGCCTCTGTTTCTAGCAATTCTGGATGTTCTATATAACAAGCAGATATTTCACAATCTGACTCTTCAGTTTAGAGCTTCATGCTTAAAGGCTGTGCTGCTGTGACCCGTATTTCACATGAACACCTCCATTAGAGAGCTTTAACAAACTGCCTGAGGCAAACAGGAGCTGGCAGCCATCCCTGCGCCAGGGTCTGCCCTCGTGAGGCACTGACCTTGCAAAGCCTTGCAGACATTCTGACCTCTGCGTGGGGTGGAGGACATCTCACGGAGCTGCATGAGTCACTCTGCTGCTAACAAGCCAGCTAGGCTGCTGCAAGTAACGCAGCCAAAGCATATCCTCATTTGTGGATGTGTCAGTCTGCCATAGTAACAAAGCCTCCAGCACAAAGCCCTGCTCAGACAGAGAGTCTCAGTGGTCCAAAATGTTTCAGACATTGCTCTTTTTAATTATTATTTTCTGCAAAGAGTGGCGATAAGAAATCCCACGGCAGGTTTGGATTCTAAAGTTCCCAATCCAAACGCTTCAAATCAGCTTCTGAAATTCTAGAATTCACACAGCCTGATGAGAAACCACGCCACGCTTCTCCCCCTGAAACATTAAACTGTAGGAAAGGAATTTTTAAACACTGAAGAGTCATTTTGTGACGAAGTCGCAGGAATGGAATGAGGAATGGTTGCAAACTTGTTTCAATGGGCAATTCACCTCTCCCCAGAGTGGGCAGAAAGAGCCCACAGGTACATTATTTACTGTCATAGCATCTCCAGTCTCGTGAGCATACAGTCTTAGAACTGCATGGCTCAAATCTGGTGTATATGATGACAAAGTGACTCTAAATCACTTGCAGCTGCCTTCATAAAGGCTACTTTGTCATATTAGTACAACAGATGGAGTTTGCTCAAGGAATTTTTCCTTTCCTTCTGATCCCTGGATGGAATATGGATATTCCCAGGCCATATTTTCTCCAAATGCTGAATGCACTGAATGCAATCTTTCAACCCAAACCTTTCATCTGCGTTTCCACAGAGCACAACCAAAACCCAAATCCATTGGAGATCCCAATGGCAATGCAATTCTAATTGGTTACCTGAGAATCAGAAGCTGAAACTTTGCTCTCCTTTAAACCTCAAAATAAGAAATTTGTTATCAGAAACGCGAGAAGGAAGGAACAAAGGGGTCTGATTCAAGCAAGGTCTGGCAAAGAGAAGGTCTAGTTGCCCATTCAAACTTGAACAAGCCGGCTGGAACGCTGAGACAACATTTGCAGTGCTGACACTAAATTTCTGAATGCCGGAATGGACAATCAAATGTGTTTTTATCTTTTGTTGGCATGTTGTCCCGTAGGGATTGTCCTATCTTGTGGATGATCCCCTGTTATCTGTACGAACTTCCACCATCAAGGTATTTCCTTTTTAATTCAATTTGTTTTCTCTATGATCTGTGTGATGCGTCTCGAGAGCGTTGGCTTCCTTTCTCGTTCCTGGTCTTGTCTTTGGGAGTTTGTGCACGTGGCTCTTCCTGCTTCCCAGTGCTCGTTTCCTTTGAGAGTTGTTAGTTGCTCCAGTGAAAACGGGTGGCTGCTTTCACCATGGTTGCTGTTGTTTCCCATCTTTCCTGATGCTGACAGGGGCTGGATAAAGTATGTACACTAGAACAACCTGAGTGTTCATGTATGTGCGTGAGAGTTCTTTCTTGCAGGCTGTATTGTCCCCTAGCACAAAAACTCCTTACAGATGCAGCTTTATGAATTCCCTTCCTTCCTCTACACGCTTCCTGCTCTCAGCTGCCGTGCTCATTTCCACTCAGTTAATAGCAGCTCCTAACGAACTGCAGGTATGCTTTGCATCAATACAAGCCGCATCCTGTAAATAAGATGTAGGTAAGATGGCCCTCCCAACCCAATGTGATCCAGTCCCCATGCACAAGAAAAAAAAAGAGATCCTGAACCTCCTCTCCTCTGGGGTTTAATAATCACACAACACTGCATACCACCGCTTCCAGAATCCAGACACAAAAATAACAGGAAAATCAGACAACATGTTAACCAGCTCAGGCTGCATAAGTGAGGCAGCACTGACAGACTATCATGCTTCTGTCGCTGGAGCAGTTTCTCTTAATCCCCTACTGATGCAGGACAGCAAAATCTTCTCTCGGCTGCAGTGAGCAGAGTTATTCACTTTCAGATCTGCCTAGTGCAAATAGTTTCAGGCACAGGCAGAGAGCATCTCACAAAGACAAGGGTCTGACACATCCCACCGACCTAGCAAAAGGTGCTGCTGAAAACAACCTGCTGCTGGGTCACAGCTGTGAACTGCTACCAGAGAGTAACAGCACTGTTCTTTTCCCTGCCAGAACCACGAGTTCATAGATGAACAACTGTTCGAGCAGAACTGCATGGAGAGCTCAATGCAGAACTACCCATCTTCTCGGAGCCCCTCCTTGTCAAGTCACCATGGCCTGACCACCTCTTGCTGTTCTCGCCGTAACAAGAAGACCACGCACCTCCCCAACTCCAGTGTGCCAGCCACCCGCCTCCGCAGCATGCAGGAGCTCAGCACCATCCACATCCAGTGCAGTGAGCAGCCCTCGCTTACAACCAGGTATGGTCTGTAGGCTCTCAGTGCTACTGTCTGCAACCTCCTTGGGTACGTTACCCAAAAGTATGTTTGAGCAAGTTGTACAGAGCTATTTCCCAGCCAAGGAGAAGGGTGTAAGCTAGAAACGTCTTTGCTTTCCTGCCCCTAATGATAGTCCAAGGAAAGTGGCTCATAACTTTTCTCTGTAACTGCTCTAGGAGGAACCAGGTGAAAGTTAGACTCTATAGAGCTCTTCTCTGACCAGACTAAACATAGAAGGATAAATTTCAGTCTACCAAACTCTAATTGCACAGGCAGGAGTCAGCAGTTGCCAGCTCTAAGCTAGACACCAGTGGTAGAGGACCACCCTGCAGCCCAGCTCCCAGCCAGCCCACTGCTGGAGCAGGCAAGGACAACCAGCTGAACACACTGACTCAGCTCACCAGGGACGCTCAATTCACTCATTTTCATTATCCAGGTCTGAATCACAACCGAGAAACAAATAAGGAGAAACTCTGCAGTAATGTCTTCATAGCTTTCACCTAAAGAGGCATTAAGTAAACAGGTGCAGAAACTTCTGATTGACAGCGAACTTTGAAATAGCATCATTTTACACAGAGCCTGCTGAAAAACCATTCCCTCACTATATATTTCTCACAATTAAGAAATGACTTGCTGTAACGCAATGGAAAGCCCAGCAAAGCACCAAAGTCCCTTGCTCAAATACAACAGCCATTAGCACAGAAACAAAGGAAAGAAACTGCTTACCTTCAGAAGGCCTCAGGTACACACAGATCTCCAGCAAGAACCCCTTGCCTCCACTGCCAACCCTTACATGAGGTCTGGGAAGGGGGTGGATCCCAGCTCCATCCCTTCTGGTCACCCAGGTGCATTGCATTGTGTGCACCTGAGCCCCCGTGGGTTGGCCCTGCCTTCCCACCAGGTGCTCCATCACTGCTTCAGGCCATGATTAGCATCTCCACTTACTAAATTCCCTCAGCCCATGAGGGTTCTTGAGCACTGGGCTGTTTCCGAACCTACCATTTTTCTCCTCCCCACTCTTATCACAGGGATCTGGAAGTTGAAACAAAGATGCCTTAAGGGCAAAAAGCAGACACTTCACGCCAGGTAGAAGTAAGAAATGTATTTCAGAGAATGAATTATGAATGAATAAGCACAGAACAAGTCTTCGGCTGCTGCAGTTTAAAAATGACAGCAATTTAAACCAGCACCTGAAACAGTAATTCAGGGGAATGAGAACTTATCCCATGTGGGTGCTATGTGATGCCAGTGATTATATTTTAAATGTCAACACTGCTGCTTCACTTGCTTACCAAACTGTGAAAGAATAGGCAGGAAAAGTAACAAAAAAAGCCTCTGAGTTGTTTTTCACGTGGGATGCAACTCACTGGGTGAGCTTTAGTGGAATGCAATGCACTGGGTGTGTGCTTACCACTGACAGAACCTCCCAGTCCTTAATGCTGTGCCACTCTCTGCTTACGACTGAGGCAGCCAGGGAGCAGAATGGGTTCTGTGGTGTTCTTGGGATGCTTGAGAGATCAAAAAACATCCTCTTGGTGACTCACTGGGTGAGATAACAACAGCAATAGCTTTCCAACTGGGAGCTTTGTATTTTAAAAGGACAGGCCTTGTGTTTCAAATGAACATGTTGGGCTGGTAATAGCAGACTCCAGTAGCTGTGCAGATGCACAGAAATCAACCTATCATTTTCACCCCGTAATTAATTATAGGATGCAATTGATGCAGATTTAATAAGAATGCTCCCAGCTGCCAGATCCTTGAAACTACCACAGAGATGAAAAAAAAATAGGAAAGATCAAGGGACAGCAATTTTAAAAGAGGCATTCAGAATGCAAGGAAGGCAACATCTTTCTCAGAAAGTACTACCTGTGCTCCAAAAAGATGGAGTGCACTGTGTGGTGTGTTTAGATATCCTCTTAATTATACAAGGAATGAAATGGAAACGTGAAACAATCTGCTCTGTGAAAAGCTGTATCTAACCATGAGGAGTATTAAATAAGCTTAGTGTAAAGTAGGTAGAAATGAACAGCACCTGGCAGGGACCTGGGGGAGCATTTAAGTGGATTCTTGTGAGTATTCCGGTGCCCTTCTCTCAGAGGAATAAGACATTGCTTGAGAATAAACACCATTCCTCTCCTCTCTACTGCCTGCTTTTTAAAAGGGCCAAACCACTACATCTGTTTTCCAGTCGTTCCAGTCTCAACATGAAATCAGATGATGGGCTGCGACCGAACTGCAAAGCCTCCCAGATAACCACAGCCATCATCAGCATCCCCACGCCGCCAGCGCTCACACCAGAAGGTGAGAGCAGACCTCCACCCAGCAGCCCTGGCCACTCCACGAACATTTCTACCACCACCACAAGCAACATAGTCAAGGTCTCTGCCTTGTAAGATGTCTCATGCACGGAAGGCGGCTGAAAGACCGGTGCCCCTCTCTCCCTCCACACCTCCATGTTCCTTTCTTGCTGCAAATTGTGCCTGGATGGATGAACCTGCTGGCTGGTCATTGGGTTAACGACGGAGACCCAACGAGGCAGCTTTCTTCAGACTCAAGGACGTGCTGTGGGACTGAGGATGGATAAGGAGAGGGAGGAAGAGCCTTGTTAACAGTAAAACCCACATGGAGAGTGCGCTGTGCTGTGGGACAGGGCAGAAAGCACCTGGGGAGGCTGAAGGGAAAGAACCGTCGTGGCAACAAGAGAGTAATAAAGAAAATAGAAATATAACACTGTGTATCGCAGCACCTTTTTAAAGGTTTTTAATGGATAATATTTATTCATGAGGAAATGACTGAAAAAGGTGAAAAAAACAATGGATTTTGTGATTTTTTTTTTTTCTTCATGGAGCAGAACCTTTAAGCCAACCAAAACTTCACTTTTTTTTTCTTTTATAGGAAAAGATTTAGACAAAGAAGCCACCTGTCACTGAAACCTATTCCCATCCCTGTGCGTGTGTGTGTGTGTGAGTGTGCAGCAGAGCCACGTCAGAGCAACACTGCATTTCAAAGGGCAGAGCATGTTGTCATCACTGGGTGCACAGTAGGAAAACACAAGCATGTGCCAGCACATACGTGCACACACACACACAACTATTTCACCCTGGATGGCATTCTTTATTTAGACACTTTTGTATCCGCCTTTTAAGTCAATACAGTGCAATTGCAACCAGTGTGTTTGTCTGCTAATTATTGTGTGTGAAAACATATTTGTGAAAAGAATCAACGACAACAACAAGGACAGGCTGCAGTAGAGTTTTAGTCCCACATGGGTATCTGCTTTCTATTTTTGTTATCACTTACTTGTAAGATGTGACTAGACTACCAGTTCTGTATTTTTAAAAAGGAAAAAAAAATAGTTTTTTTTTTTTTAATACTGTACACACAAATGGCAAAGAATGGGAAAACACTGAACTCAGCTGCATCAAGTCTGACAGAGGTTTCTTGTAATGTATGCCCATGCATTTCTGTTTTCTGTATACTGAATTTCTTTGCTAGCACTGAACATACAACCCATTGTAAATAGTAGCCAAATAACGTCTGGATCTAAACTTGATAATAATTAACCCCAAAGCCAAATATCTTGCATGGATGGAGAGGTATTTGGCTTTTTCACAGTCTAGGTGCTCCAGTTGTCTCATCAGTGACTTCTGGGTTGCACTGATTTTGGGGGTAGACTAGGTTAGCAATTTTAGTTACCCATTCCCAGCACAGGAGTGGGAGCAGCACTGGATTTTGGAAAAGTATTTGATAAGAAGCGTTACAGACAGCATTTTCTTTTTGCAATTCTACAGTTGGTTTGAGAAAATTCATGTACTTCTAGGCAACCAAACCCTGTAACACGGTGTGGTACTGCCCCCTAATAGGAAGCTAATACAGTTAGCTAAGGTGCAGTCAGTCCTAGCCCCTCTTTCTAAGCTCTTTCTAGGAATGTTTTGTTATCAGGAAATACATGGTCCCAAATCACGACTCATTTTCCCCTCTAAGAATAACAACAGTTCTTTTCTTCCATTCTGCCTTTCCCAAGTCCCTTTTCCACACAAAGCATGAAGCACCCCCGATCCCCTCCCACCTGTCATCCACTGCCTGGCTAATTATTGTTATGCACAAACGTCCTTCAAGGCCCTATCCACACATCCACAGATGGCAACCGACCCAGTCCCCAGCAGCCTGCAATAGAATAGACTTCAACTATCTTGTTTCTGAGCAGTGATTTTACCAGCACTACAGAGCTTGCTGCTCCGAGCACCTTTGAGGCTGTTTCAGCAAAGGGATGCCTTTTTTGGTTTTTAACATCTCTCATAATCTATCCTGACGTAATATTTATATACACATATACACACATACACGTATAAATAAGTGCAGACACATACATGTATAGATAAATAGACCTACGTGCTGACTTAAACAGACAAGCTAGCATTCTGCTTTGTTAGCACTCCTAACCTGCTAGTCTATGGAGTAGAGGGCTCGTGCATTAACTCAATACCCTCCTTAGGAACCTACAACATTCTAGGAATATTAGGGCTGTGGCAAAGCCTTCAGTAGCTGCATCAGCTTATAGCCATTGACCCCAGTGCTGTAATATGTTACCCAAAACTACCTTTAGTCCTGTTTTAAATGATTAAAGTGCTCTGCCTTCGCTGCTTCCTGTAGGAGGTTATACTGCAGTTAATCTTACCGTTATTGAATTTTTCTTGATGTTTTAATTTAATCTTCCTTTGCTTTATCGAATTTCATTATTTGTCATCATATCTGCTCCCCATCTGAACACCCTCAGCCTTGTAGATCAGAGGCCTCGCTCTCCACCACTTTCCACCTCGCAATCTCATTTACACTGGCACAGAATGAGCACTCAGTGCCACCATGCTGACAGGGCACAGTGTTCCTTCCAATGCACAGGAGTAAACAATTGCAAAGAGACAGGAACTCAGCAAGGATTCTCAGTGCTGCCTTTCTTTTTCTTGCTTTACCACGGGGTGGTAAATGGGACACTCTGTTCACCCATTTCTTGATCTGTAAATAGCAATCACAGCAACCCCTGCCTAAAGCACAGTTGGTGGATTTCATGGTTATCAATCAAATGCTTTCCAAAAAAAAAACCCAACATTTTAAAGAGGCAAAATCAGGAAGAGGAAAGCCAGCCCTTGGGTTTCTGGCTGGCTGCTAGGTCCCAGTTGAAGGCAGCACCATCCTTGCTCAAAAAGATTTGTCTTGCCTCTTCTACCATTAACTCAGCACATGCTGCCCAACACAGACAGTACTCAGCACAGACTTTCAGAGGACAAAGACAGACAGAATGAAGTCTGAGCCTAGAGGAATAGGACTAAAAATATTTTTTAATTGAGACATTAGCTCCCTTTATAGACTGATTTGAAGTAGAATGAGTAATGCTTCCAAAAGCACTTAAAAACATGCTTGTACAAAACCTCCCTGGATTGCCCAGCGCAGCTATATCCTCATTATGGGAGCACTGTGCATTCATTGAAACAGCAAAGACATGAATCTATTGCCAGCATATCAGTGGTTGGTAGGGCATGGCATAACATCCCTCAAATGAAACACAGGGAAGAGGCATTTGCACACGAGAGCAGGGGAACTGTACAACAGCTACTTTTTCCTACAGTGTAAGGAAGCAATTAGCTTCACTGAACTGCAGGGCTCTTCGTAGGCTTTAAATAGCAACATATAAAGCATTGCTGTGACAAAGCCAAGTCAATCCTGTACATTCCTAGACCAGAACTTTAGCAGGACTCGGGCCATTCTCTCCAGTGGTTCCCATTATTGCCCTGCCTTACCTGCATTGCTCTCCCCACTACCATGCATGCCCAGGGCCAAACACATACACTGCTATGGATACCAAAAAAAGAAGCACATACCCCTGCATTCCTGATGCTTATGGAAAGGGGGGGTCTTCAGTTGTGGGCTGCCTCCGGGAGAAGTATCCAGAAACACAGATAGGTTCCAGCCCTGATACCTTTCTGAAAGGTACAACACAGCCTGATCAGTTGCTCAGCAAAAAGGCAGCAGAATATTAGCAGTTCATTGGGAAAACCTTACCCCTCCCCCTCTAATTTCTTGCAAATCTTTACAGTTTTTCTTTCTTCATGAGAAAAAAAGAAGATAAAAACAAATCATTTGCACATAAAGCAAGCGGAAGGGGATTGTTTTTTCAGTCTTTTGTAAAGCAATACTAAAAATATTAAAGAAGCAACACCTTTGTCCAAGCATTTAGCTTCTTTTCAAAACCATCTTTTGAGGGAAAAGTATTTCCACAGATATTCAGCATATTCTATAGGTTCACCCTCACCCCACCTGGCACTGCACTGCTGATAGGAGGAAATACACCCAACTGGCAAAGAACGATGAGCAGCACCTTCCCCATCTGGGCTTTAACTTCCATCTATTCATTCCAAAATCCAATTTTTCCTTTAAAATCCCCACTAGCAGAAGATCCTTCACTGCAATACATCACCCTGCTTTCTGCACATCTCAAATTCTCCATGAAAAGGGCTCCCACTGCTTTCCTGCAAAGCTTATTCCAGACTAATGCATTTCAATGGCAAAGTTTTTTCCCTTGCTGTTCAGCCATAGTTCTTATTCTCCCTTCCTTTATTACCATTATACTCTTTCATATCTTTTAAAATTATTCTCCTTTCCAGAGGGTGAGAAAGCTGCCTTTTTTATGTCAGTAATTATCATTGTACAAACATAATGGGAAAAAGGTAAACTAAGTAACACCCAGGGCTTTAGTGTGGGACAAAGTAATATGTAATTCAAACAGAAACCTCAGAGAATTACATCCTTCTCTACAGCTTCCAGAAACAGTAAATTTGAATCAAAGCTATTTGCTTAACCTGAAATAGTTGATAATATGCTGCAAACCAGCACCTATCATTCCAGATTAGACAGATGTGTATCAGTATCAGCTAAGGGAAGCAAAGTTTCTCCCAGTATTTGGCTTTTTTTAGTGCAGAGGTCATAAATGTGCTGTATCTTACCTATGTTACACACTGAACTTGGTACATTCAAAATCAGCTTTAACTTCTGGGTTACAACCTCCCTTGTTTTAATGTTATTTATGTCAAATGACTGCAGAGCTACAAAGTCAGCAGTCATGGATGGCTTACAAACAGCAACAGCTTTGAACTCAAGACTTTATTCTGCTTTTAATGTTAGATAAATAACACGCCTCTTCCACATAATTTACCAATCTATCCTAATTGAAGATTATAACCATTTAAAAAAAGACTTTCTTCAAGACATTAAGCAACTGCAGTAGCTAACTTGAGTTTGTAGCCTTCGTGTTTATGGATGCTATAAATGCTCTTACAAAGGTTTTATACTTTGGAAACTTTAAAAGCAAACACAATGCAGTGTGCATACTGATTGCAGCCAGGAGAGTTAGCCTCAGGAACCTATGTTCTACTCTTCATTGTCTTGATGAACCACTAAGCGATCTCGAAGAAGTCATCTCACCTCTCTTTGCCAATCTGACAATAAATAGATGAAGCTCAGTTCACAAAGCCTCCAAAACACCAGAGAGAAACCTGGAGAAAGCACACAGAAAAGTACTGCTACTATTGCCAGAATGCAGGAAAAAAAACTGTGCCAGAAAAAATCATGGGTGGATCATTCAACAGACCAGGTGACAAAGACCTCGTGACAATTCCTTCCTGAGTTTTGATCTCAGCCAATAGTCTGTTACCTTCATATGTACATGTGTGCACGTGTTTCTTTTTGGCTTCAGTTTGAACTAGTGCTAGTCACAGGAGGTTACACAGCTGCATGGGTGAGGAGTTCACCACCTCATCCCATGTTCTTCTCAGTTCTGTCACAGCCATGACTGGGAGCTCCCAAAGGCTCCTCGGACCAATGAGGTATCTGACAAAACGCGGGTGATGGTATATTTTTGATAAATTAATAAGGCATTCCAATAGTATTTCTTTAGGAGTTTTATGTTATGAGAAGCTCTCAACCTTATTATTTTCTATTTTCGTACTATAAGTGGGCTTTGCTTACAAACATCAGAGGACAGATACAAAATGTACCGTATACAACTGCAGGTAGCTTCATTTGAGAACAACTTTCTAGAAGAACCAAGTTTCCTGTTGTCTTCTTTTGGAATTGTAGTGCATATGTTGAAACTTGTATATCATTTACAGTATTGAGTCTTGTGCCACTGCTGTACCTGATGTATCCAATCTGGATTAAACAGAGTATGTGCCACAAATACCAAGACGATGCCGTAGATTTCTTCTAAAGAATGTTGGGAGGTTCTTTGGAGAGTGCTGGGTGATGACCTCAGCAACGTGAGCTGCAATGAAACACTAATAGCTCTTACTTCAGCAAGAGTTGACAAGAACAGCGAGATAAGAGATGCTGTAGGACAGCATTAAAGCACATATCTAAGGGAAAACCAGCTGCCTCCTTTTGATTGCTAAGGCATGCAGCAATCCTCATGTTGGAAACGAGAACAAAACACTCAGATCATGCAGATGTAATGCAGGAGAGCCCTCTTGCTGTAGTTTGTTGTGGTACAGTTGAGTATGGCAGAAGAAGGAAAAGAACAAAAATAATCCTGAGCTAACAGTTAAAAGCACACATTATGCCTTTCCTTTCAAAAGCACTCGGGTCTTGGGAGCTCCTGTTAGGCCAAGGCTAACAAGCTGTATTTCAGATGGGACAGTTTGTTTCAACTGGAAAAAAAAAAAGCAGCACTGCTCTCATCTTGAGTATCTTAGGAAGAATCGCTTAGAGGCATTTTTAAAAAACAATATTTAAAATGATTACTGTGTAAACTAACACCCAGGCAGCAGCTGCATTTACATTCTTTCTTCTGCAGTAAAGCAAGACACCACAAGGGGGAATCATTTCCCCAACTGAAAAAAGAAACAACAGGTGAATCTTTCTTAATTAACCCTCTGACTTCTATGCCACTCATGAGCTAAAGCAATCCTGAGGATCTCCTGACAGTTCATAAGACACAGCTTGGAATGTAGATATCCACAACTACACAAAAGGGTTCAAAGTGCTGCCAGGGACACCACAGGATTTGCAGGGGATTATTGCAGCAACATTAAGAACTCTGACAAGCAACAAAATTTATTCACAGATGTGTATTGTATTTCCCAAAATTGATTTGGAAGTAGCCAGAGGTGAGCAACCAAGTATCCCTGAAGACATTCATTTCACCAGATACAAGAAAAAGTCCTCCTTGGAAGTGCAAGTCATAGCAGGTAGGAAATAGAGCTTTCACTGAAGGAATTCCAATCAATGCTACTCTGACCACGAAAAGAAAAAAGCAACAAATCACACACCTGCTCTGATGAACATAGCAAAAATCAATAGAACTAGCTAGAGATCTGGCTCTGTGATCTCACACGTACTAAAAATGAAGTTCCAAAATGAGTGTGAAGTCAGACCAGTGTCAGTAGCCTAAGCCAGCCACTACTTTCATCTTGTCCTGCTTCCAGACAGCTACATTAAAAAAAAAACGGCAACCAAAACAGGAAATACAAATTAGATTTAGAACTAACGAGTAATTTCCTTTCTAATTAAAGCTTTTCTGTAAGCATGGCAAGTCTGATACTGCTGCACCCTGAGGAAAAGCCAGTTACAGGAGCTGCACACCTCATACATAATTAAACCATCCCAGACTGCACAGTTTGCCATTTAACTAGCTCTAGAAATGTTATTTAAGCAGTGCCAATTAACTGCACTTAAATTAGCAATACAGGTATTGAGATGCAGGTTTTAGTCTGCCAATATCAACTGGTACATTACCAGTGCCCTCTGGTTAAGAATTACAGACAAGAGGATGATCTCTGACAATAAGCAGCTTCGGTAGCTTCACTGTGAATTCATCTTCAGCCAAAAGTCACAGGGAAGAAAATCAAGTAGAGAAAGCTGGGCTTGTTTCACATTTTCTCCTTACTGAGGTTTCCTACATGGAAGCAACTGACTTGCCTTTTGTTTCCTTACTATTTTAAAGACTGCAACTGAACATTTAGTTGTCTGCCATTTCATTTTATTAACAACTTGTAACACCACTGCTGGAATGCATATAAAACATTTACCTAGACACATCCTGCTCATGAAAAAGGCAGCAGTTTACTTCACTCAAACAATGTCAGTACATTAATCACCACTTTCCAGCAGTTCCTGAAAGTAGACCGAGTTGACATAAGCATTCATCCACATCAAGTGTCTGTAACTTTTCCTGTAGTGAAAGTGAGAAACTGCAGCATAGTAGTTCTGCCATGCTTGATAGTAAGATTTCCAGTAGTCTTCGTAACTCCATGCCTCGTGAGGAAAGCCAGGAACACCATCATCCCAAGAGCCACAGGAGGACCCATCTCCAGTCTTTCTTGGGACAGGATTAGGGTACTGATGGGAATGTTTTTTCTTTTCTTTGGCATTTTGTTTCAGAGCTTTCTTTTTCACCTGATTTTGCTTTGGGACTTGTGATTGCTCCTTCAGCTTCCCTGGTGTGGGACAAAAGCCTGTAAGACCCTGACAGGTGGTGGGGACAGCATTTTTAGCCTGCCTGTCTGAAAATGCTTCGAAGCATGAGTTACTTCCACTACTGTGAGAGGAAGCCCTTGAACTGCATGAAGCATCACTGTCATCAGACAGAACGTCGTTTGCTACCGTGTCCCTATTATGTTCCACCTCTTTCCACTCTATACCGCCATTTCTGGGGAGTTCACATTGATCTCCTGGGCCTGAATAGCTTCTTAAAATTTCAACATCTCTCTCCAACCCTTCTTTAATGAAGTATTCATAGTCTTCAACAAGCTCTGAAAAGTTCCAAGGACTGTTCTGTTGGTTTTTGAAAGATGATAAGCATGGAATTTTGGGCAGATTTCTCTTTAAGGCTTCCTCATCTGGAACCTCTGTGCTATTTGGCTCAGCCGTTCTGGAGACAGTTTCTACTTGATTCTTTTGCTTTCTATTGCAGCTGGAGGTTTTGGAGTTTCTGCTGCTTTTTTCCACCTTGGCAGAATTTGTGTACTTTTTCACCTGCTTTTGTTCCAAAGCATTTTTTGGCTTCTCTACAGAAGAATTACCAACCTGAAGATTAGAATGAGGCTGAGGTACCTCTGCAGAATTATTTTGGACAGGCTGAAGTACTGGTTCTTCTGGTTTAAGACACACAGTGTCAGAATTTACTGAAGCACCTGTGTATACAACAGGTTTGACTTCAACCTCCCCATCTTCAAACTGATCCATCATTCCAGGAGGAATAGGCTCTGCACAAAAGGGAAACAAGTAAGCACTCAATTAAGTGCATCTTTCCTTCCAGAATTCAAATGAGTACTGAAGCAACACGCAGATAAGATGTTAAGATATGCAAAATTAGAAGTGCAAACCAATGCCTTCACTTCTTGAAAAAGCTCAAATATACAGAATGCTTTCTTCACAGGAGGCATCAGGAAGCTAATTAATACAGTACATACTGCATTAGTGAACTATTCTTCATTTCCATTTTTAATCAGGTAAAAAGTTTAAAAATTTTAAGAAGGAGAAATGCTACAATTCCAGCAGAATAGCTTCTAGCAGAGCAGAGCAGAGAATGTTTGGCTGTTTCTATTATTGTCTCCTTCTATTCTATCTTACAGCCTTGTAAGCCTTGCTGAAAGGCTTAATACCAACTTTCTCAAGTTCCAGGTGTTCTGTAGCTGCATAACAAACAGTTGGATTTCAAGTTCCTGCCTTCACCTACAGACGTGCACTACAAACATTTCCTATTCCTTCGCTTACTACAGCAGTTACACAAGCGGTCACAAGCACAGAGGATAAGAATTCCAAAGTTATTTCAATTTCAGCAAATATTCACATCAAACAGCTGCCACCTGAAGTCTTGAATGAACAGCAGAAAGAAATCAACAGGGAAAAAAATATACAGCTGCATTCACAGGACAGAACGTACCAGGTAAAGGAAGAAGCCGTAGGTTACATTTCTGAGCAATTTTCATCATCATGTTTTCCTCCTCTCCACGGCAGCAGTACGTCACAGATAAGCCTAAAGTTCCTGTGGTAGAAAATGAAGTATAATCACCTAACTAGACCCAGAAGAACTGGTGCAACCTCGAGAAATCCACGTGACTGTTTTTACCAAAGCGCCCGGCTCTGCCGATACGATGCATGTACGTTTCCCAATCTACTGGGACATCCAGATTGATGACCAGGTTCACTTTTTCAGCATCGATTCCACGAGATGTCTTGAGAAAACAAAGACAAAAGGGGATTCATAACTGCAGGGGCTTGAAAAGATGTTTATGTACTGCAACACATCCGCGAACAACCGCTCACGTAGCACCTCAAATGGTTGCAACACACTACAGAGCATCTACAATTTTCCAGTGAGTTTACATGGAGAACAGACATCCTGCACTGGAACGTACAAATTATGGATCACTTCTTTTTGTACTGCAGTACAAACAAGCGCGTTTCTTGCAAGCACCAAAACACCCGCCAGCAAGCTGTAACTTTTTTCATGATAGAACCACCAACAACCAACTGAAATACACCAACAGCCGAAAAAAAACAAGGCTGAGTACTTCAAACATAACCACTGCTCTGTTTGAAGTTGTACTGTGAGTACACTGCATTAAGGAAAGCCTGATTTTTCCCACAGCTCCCATCCAAAGTAAACACACCTCTACTCCTCTGAAATCTCTGCAAACTTCTGCCATTCAACAGCAAAATTACAACTGGTTTTTGAAACAGAAAGATAGCAGATGACAACTAGGTTTCAAACTTGAGCAGTGCTCAAATCAAATGCTTCAATAGCACGTTTATGTTCTAGTCAAATTAATTCTCTGAAATGGGTGTATTTGCAACAGTCAGGTACAGTGAGATAGTAACTCACCAAGTCTGTGGAAATCAGAACTCTACAATGGAATTGCTTTAGTTTAGCCATAGCATCGAGCCGCTGGCTTTGATTCATGCTGCCTAGGGGAAAAGAAAACAGAAACAACTTCCATGTTCAACAGTTTTATGCCTCTAAAACTCCTGGAAAACTGTATAAACTATAGACGACATGAGAGGCAAGCTTGGGAGAAACTTCCTCAAACATCAATTCTAAATGAGTAAATACAATAAGCAGGACAAGTTTGAAAATACATTAAAATTACCCATTTTGCTCATTTTAAAAAAGAAACCATTACAGATACTTAAACCATCTGAATAACACAGACTTCAGACCAATTTTTACATCACCACCCCATAAGGCATGAAAAGCTGTTGAGCTAAAAATTGAAAGGAAGATTTCTAATGAACACTACAAGCTAGCTGCTAGCTTTTTACAGAGAAAACAGAAATAGTTTTAAGTTCAATATCTGCATTCCCAAAAAATACAGCTTCGAGCTGCAAATACAGCTTCACCCTTCACACAGGGCAACACTTGCCCAAGTATTCATTACGTGATTTTCAAACAAACTAGAGGGCTGCAAGCTTCATCAATGCAGAAATTTAACATGGAATCCTTAGAGACCCTAATGCTATTCTTACTATTTCAGCAGAGGCCATGCAAATCAAGCTTTTAAGATCAAGAGGTATTTTCTTATGTCAGGTCATTTTTACACACAATTTCAACCAACAGAGCTCTGGGCAGGCTTACCTGAAATGCACTCAGCAGGAAAGCCTCTGGATGTTAGTATTTCAGCTAGATGTTGAGCCCTAATAGAATATACACAATAAAAACAGTAATTAAGAGTGCACATATGACAGCCCACATGCATTTAATACAACACTGTTCTTTATAGGCAAAGATTCCACTACCATTTTATGGCCATATTTATAAATGGACAGGAGTAACAGATAATAGGACTCACTGTCATCTAATGTACGAGGTACTTCTGTGCTGAAGTTTTACTGTTGACATTTCAGGCTATTTCAACATTCCAGCTCTGTACTTCAGAAATTTGCATATTGCTTTGAGACCTTTATAAAAAGTGTTAAAAAAAAAAAATACAGAAATTTATCCTTGAATGGATTTATTACCTGCTATGCAAATTTGAGAAGACTAACGCTTGATTAAATGGAATCTTGCTGAACAACTCTTGCAGGTGCTGGGTTTTTTCCTCAAATGTTTTATGTGGAAGTGGATGGGAATTCACAATTTTGTAATACTGCTTCAACCCTGAGCATGAAACCAAGACATCAAATTAAGGATTTCCATAAGAAGAAAAAAGGCTAGGCTGCTGTTTCAGCTGCTGTGACATGCTGACAAAGACTTTCAAATGCAAACACATCCACCAAATAAAATGTTACACAGCATGTCTTTTCTTAAAAGAAAGAAACACAAAGAATCTGAAAATTGTGAAGGCATGCTTTGGTCTCAGTACACCGTTCACAATCTATTGACAACACAATCAATGAACAACTCACCAATGAGACTTGGGTCAGTGGGATTCAGCCTCACAAACGTTGGCTCTCTCATGTACATTGTCAATGCATTAGCTAATGACTCAGGGTAAGTAGCTGAAACAGCAAGCATCTGTTTATTGGCTGGCAGCGAAGAGTAAATCCAACTGTGAGAGACAAAAATGGGAATGACTAACAAAAATTGATCTAATCTGCAAATCAATACAATGGGTAAGCACTTTTCTTACTTGATTTGCTCCTGAAAGCTGCCTTCTTCCAGAAGCTTGTCTGCTTCATCAAGAATGAAGAGCCGAATACTGGCCGTGTTCAAGTAGTCCAACTCTATGAGCTGTTTTATTCGACCTAGATATAAAGAAAAAAGCAAAGTGAGCTTCTCAAATATTAACTCCAAGTTTAAGCTAAAGAGAATCTAACTTGCTATTAACTAAGGACTGGTTCTCAACAGTCACCTTTTAAAATTAATTTTAGCATCCTTTAAAAAAAAAATCCGTGTTTAGAATAATCTCTCACTGAAAACACCATCTTAGTCTGAACGTTTTTGGCACTGCCCCTTTTTTAGTAGTAAAAGAGAGTTCCAACGGAATCCAGATTTCAGAAGTACCAACCATTGTACCATCAGGTATCAGACAGCATCCAGTGAAGCAAAGTGCAACATGCCCATACCTGGAGAGCCAACTGCTATGTGGCATTTCTTCAGTCTGACTTTGTCCTGGCTCAAAGGAGTCCCTCCAATGAAGACATGGCATTCCAAACCTTCCATCTTTATCCCAATTGTTGTGATAACAGCATGAATCTGCACAGCGATCTCTCGTGTGGGAGCCAAGATAAGAACCTGTGAGTAACAAACAGCTGTATTTGAAAGCCACGCAACAGTTTGTAAGATTGAAGCGCATCAAGTTGTGATGATTTAGAATCATAGGATGGTTTGGGTTGGAAGGGACCTTTAAGATCATCTTATCAACCCCCTGCTATCAGCAGGGACATTTCCACTAGCCCAGGTTGCTTACAGCCCCATTCCAGGGAGGGAACATCCACAGCCTCACTAAGCAACCTGTTCCAGCGTCTCACCACCCTCACAGCAAAGCGTTTCCTCCTAATATCTGATCTAAATCTTCTCTATTCCAGTTTAAAGCCATTTCCCCTCTGCCCTTATAAAAATTCCCTCCCCAGCTTTCCTGCATGAAGCCTCCAAGCTCTGGAAGGCTGCTACATGGTCCTTTTGGAGCCATTTCTTCTCCAGGCTGAAAATCCCCCACTCTCACAGCCTGTCCTCATCAGGGAGGTGCTTACATTTCAAACACTGCTGGTTATATGCTAATAAGTGACCAGACACTTATCCCAGTTCAAGAAAGACAGAGAGCTGCTAGAGAGGGTCCAGAGAAGCCACAAAGATGATCAGAGGATGGGAGCACTTCTCCAAAAAGACAGGCTGAGGGAGCTGGGCTTGTTCAGTCTGGAGAAAAGAAGGTTGCAGCCCTCAGTACCTAAAGGGAGCCTGCAAACAGGAGGGGAATCAATTCTTTGAAAGGGTTGATAACAACAGGACAAAGGGAAATTGTTTGAAGTTGAGGGAGGGAAGATTGAGGTTGGATGTCAGGGGGAAGTTCTTTCCTATGAGAGTGGTGAGGTGCTGGAACAGCTGCCCAGAAAGGCTGTGGATGCCCCGTGCATCCCTGGAGGTGTTCAAGGCCAGATTGGATGGGGCCCTGGGCAGCCTGGGCTGCTATGAAATGGAGAGGCTGGTGGCCCTGCATGTGGCAGGGGGTTGGAGCTTGTGATCCTCGAGGTCCCTTCCAAACCAGGCCATTCTGTGATTCTGTCACTGGGGCTCACCTGAGTGACCGTGCTGTCAAGCAACAGTGCGTCCAAGGCGATGGTGGAGAAAACGCACGTTTTACCGGTTCCGGACTTTGCCTGCACGATGAGATCTGGAAGGAGCCCACACACGTTAGGGAGCACCGCTCCTTCCGCCCCGCTCCCGACCCCGCGCGGCCCCCCACTCACCCAGCCCGCAGCGCCCCAGCGGGATGGCCTTCAGCTGGACGGGCGACGGCCTGTGGAACCCAGCCGCCTCCAGTCCCGCCAGCACCGGCGGCGACAGCAGCAGCGAGCCGAAATCAGGCGGGCCGCCGGGCAGCAGCACGTCGCGGGTGCGGAACCGGCCCTCAGTGGGCGCCGCCATCTTACGAGCGGGAAGCGATGTCGCGCCGCATCTCGCGAGAAGTACCTTCGGCCCGCGCCGCGCATGCGCTCTGTCCGCCCCCTCCGCCCGCCACACCGCCAGGGGGCGCAACGGCCGCGGGGTCGCGCTGGGTTGGCGCGGTGTTTCTTCGCGGGCTGCGTTTACCTGTGTGCCTGCCCTGCCCTGCCCTGCCCTGCCCTGCCCTGCCCTGCCCTGCCCTGCCCGCGAGTAAAACAAAATAAAACCGCGGTGCAGCTTTGCACTTCAGCCGAATCCAAATGTGTGAATACACTGTATGTGCATTACTTACTGCCCTCTGTAGAGCACTTGCTTTGAATTGTGGGTGGTTTCGTGCACATCAGTTTTATTGTCGCCGTGGTTCGGAGGCTCTGGACGTGCAGCTTCCATTGATGGCAGTGGGATCTGAGAGGCCTCAGCCGTGGCTCACACGGTACCAACACACACCGCTGTTATCCTGACATCTTCAGGAATCCCCAGTGTGCTGCAATGGCTTTGGGTGTGCCAAGGTCTCTGTGGCGCCTCTGAAATTCCTCCTGTTTGCATTCCTTACAGGGAGAAAGACACGAAAGAAAAAGTGGCCGAGTCTGCTCTGCTGCTTTGTATCATTAGCTGAGATCTTCCCGTGAATGTCTGAGCACAACACCCACCTCTGCTGTGGGAGCTCAGCCCTGCAGGGCGGGCAGATGGTGATGGCAGGGCTGGGCTGCTCTGAGGAGGTGACATCCAGCATCCTCTTAGCTCCAATTGTTCTTTAATTGTTAAGTGGATATTCCCCTTGGGTCCTCAAGGGGAAACGGGTCTCCAATGAGATAATTCTTTGGATACATCTGGGAAAGGAGACGGACAAGGAGACCTGGATGTAACAAATGCTTTGATTAAATGCAGCCTCTTATAACCCTTTTAAATTGATGTGATTTAAACAGACAACGAAGAGCGGTCAGGAGTCTCTGTGCTCAGTGGGGAAGGGTAGAGAAGAGGTGATAAAACATCGCCATGCAATGAGCTGCTCTTTCTTTCTGCTTCCCTCACCCTTCCCTGAGATAGCAGGCATGTTGTGGTAGTACAGCTCAGTGGTTTGGATGCAGATATCATTGTCCTCTGCCATGCAGTGTTGATGAGACATTCAGACACATCGCTCTAATTCAGAAAGACACTGCTGTCTGTGGAGGCTTAATCAATTTTCTCAGCCTCCATTGGAGTTTGGAGGGAGGGATTCCAAACCATCTCGATGTCTGTATGCTGCACAGGACATGACCACAGGCAGATTCATTGCCCATCTTCCTTTGTTTTTGTCCCTCGCTGACTGGGCTGCATCAGATCAGCTCCTGCAGCCTCCCTGCAGTACACACACAGTAGTGAAAGCTGTGGCACAGACTCTGTCTCTTTACTTTTGCATGACTTCCAAAGCATGTGCACATTTGCTTGTTCACACTAGTCAGCCACCCCATCATTTCTAGTGACAACCACAGTACCTGGTGCTTTAATAAACTCCAGCTCCATAAGTTAGATGCATCAAGATCTTAGCTCTTCCAACACACATAGCAGGAGCTGCTGGTGGTAGAGGCACGATTCAGGGTGAGACAAGGCTGTGTCTGATGGAGGAGATGCTCAGATCCTCAAAACTTTCCCTCTATTGGTGTCCCAGGGGTGCAGAGTGATGCTACCCCACTACGTAGAAGTGCACACTGCATTTAGAGCAGTTGAACAAGGAAAAAAAAAAAAAAATAAAGCATGGATCTGAAAAACTGGTGGGCTTTCTGCAGTCAGTTACCTATGAATGTCAGCCTGAGTATTTCTCATCGATGCTGAAACAGTGCTGTGCTGCTGCAAGCTGAAGTCTTCACGTAGCAGATTTCATCAGCAGTGCCACCTTGTCTGCACTGCAAATGCCCAAGCGACTGCCAGAGGAATCATTAGCAGAAAGAAAGGCTTAGAAGAAAACCCTCCTAGGGATAAGTCATCCCCTAACTGCTCAGTGCGTACTTTTTTCCCCAAAACAGCACTCACCACTGTTTTGTCCCTCTTATGATCCCACCTCACGTCCTGATGCTCTGTCCTACCTAATGCAGAGATAGGCATCCCTACCCACAGCCGGGGATTGGTGCTAAGTGGCTTTTAAGGTCCCTTCCAACCCATACTGTTCTATGGTTCTATGAGGTGCAGAGTACATATTCCGTTTAATTCCACCCAAGATTCCTTCCTTTATGAACCTACATGTATAAATATCAGCTTTGGATAAACAGCTGTGTAAAGCATCCGGGATGTGCATGCTGATACCAAGGTCAGCTTCTCACTGCTTCAGATCACAGAGCACTTATCTTCCAGCAGCAAGGCAGGGCCCGTATCACGTGTTCGGCTTCCTAAGACTGACGTGTAGAGTGCAAAGAAACATCCAGGCATCTCAAGTACCAGCACTAAGTACTCACTGCAGATTCATCCATCTCTTTCTCTGGAGCTTATTCTCCATCCACTACAGCTAATCCTGTATTAACACTTTGGAAGAGTGGAATAAAGCACTCCAAGAGAATCTCTACTGGCTTCCAGAGCTGTCAAGTTGTGTATATCTTTTTAAAATACATTCATTATGGGTTTGAACATAGTTACTGTAAACAAGCACCTGCCTTGTCTGATTCCTTTAGCTTCAAAGGATTTGTCTTTTATATCTGCTAAGACGTGGAGTTACTCAGAACAAGTCTTGGTTTCCATAATATTTATAAAATAGTTTAAAAGTGAGATAATCTCATCCTCCTTTCGTAAACGAGTTCGGATGAAGACATTCTCTGTGCTTTGCAGCACATAGAAATCACTCTGAGGAGCGCAGCATGTGTTTGTGTTTACACTGCCATAGTAACTGTGTGTGTTCTCCATACAGTGAAAGTACCATTGATGTTAACACAGATAGTGGATTCATATTCACCACCGCTGCAGAAGCAGGCACTGATGCAGCTACTTCCAGACTGAAAGACCTCACATGCACAATTAATAATGATCTGGAAGGGAATGCCCAAAAACATGCATAGTGCCAGAGGGGCAGTAAGCAAGCATCTTGTCACTCCACCAAATTCCCCCATTCCATCTTTAATGACCATGACTTAGAAAGACAGAACGTTACTGTTTTATTCTTCCCACATTCCACTTCCAGTCTTTTTCTGACCCTTCTCTGCAGCACGCATGAATTAAATAGCAAGCTGTCCCAGGCAAGGGCCCTGCATTATTTATCTGTGCTGTTTGGAGCCTAACGCGGTGGGTGCTGAACGAGGTGAGGAGCAGAGGTCACGCTCACACACAGATACACAAACACACGTGTTATCCTTTCCCACAGCTGAATATTTCTGAGGAGAAAGTTAATAAAGTCAGAGCAAGCTCTTGGTTTTCAGATACACGTTACCTTTTTGTTATTACTCAAGGCTTGCAATTAAATGAGAGCTAGTAAGCCTCCCATGTCTTAAAAAAATAATGTTGGTTTTTATGTTAGAGAACGGCAAGTATAACGCAGGATTGCATTTTAGGTATGATAACATTACGGAGTCACAAAAAGAAGCATCAGAATATCAGCTCGGATAAACTATTTCAGCTATGGCAGTGATGAGGGGCTTACCGCGACTGCCCAGAGTTTGCAATAAATAAATTTCATCTCATTTTAATCTTGGATAAGCTTTTATACGAAGGTTTGCTAAATTATTTTTCAGCTAGTATGAAGATGATGTAGGTCACAGAAATGCAGCCAGCCGAGCTGTAATCCAATCGTTCTGGAGCTCCAGATAGCACAGTGAGAGCAGCAGTTCTGCTGCCCTGGCACTTACCCCACACTTCAGTGCTGGCCGGGGAGTTTTGGGGGCTGGAGCCCAACTGTGGCTGTGAGAGCCTTTACTTCAGGGCTGCAGGCATAGCAGGGAATGGGCCTGAGAGGAATTCAAGAGCCACAAGTGCAGAGACTGCGTACAACAAACAATCCCGTGGAATAAATGGTTCTGTTTTCAGGGGTAAGTCGCCACTTAATGCACAAATATAGAAGCAGAATCCAAGTTTTTGATCTGATATTCTTACCCACGTTGGCTGGCTGCTTATGGCCCAGTGGACTTTAAAGGCGATGGATGCAATTTAGGTCACGCTGAAGCCTCAGCGAGAAGAAATTCTGAAAGATTCGCCTTCGGTGTGCAATAAAGTAAAAAGAAGAAAATTCAGAGATAAGCCCGGTTGTTCGTTCAACAAAGAACAGCCTCGTGAAAGCGCTGAGGAACAAGATCAATGAACTGAAAGACAACAAATGAGATGAGGAAGCCCTCAGCTGTGAAGGGATAGATGTGTTCTCCATCGAGAAGGAACGAGGCAGTTCACGTAAGTGGGTACAGCTCTGAAGGCATATTCTATTTTTTGCCCAAGGATCTCAATTTTTCATTTTATGCTGAAATAAGCCACGTTGCTTTCTGCTGAAGGGGGTTTTGCTTTCAACTCTGTGCTTTCTTGGAGTCCTGATTTTCCACCACGCTGCACCATCTGCTCATTGCTCACACTGCTGCGGAGCGGAAGGGAGCAGAGCCTGCAGTGTTGTCCCCACTGAGAACCCAAATGTTGGGCTGTGGGGAAATCCCACTGAGGAAATGCTCCTCGTTTTCCCGTTCTCTTCCAGGTTCCCGTTAGTTTGGAGCACACGGATATTCTGCTCCTTTCTACATCAGCCTCGCTGGACATATGCAATCCTGGAGGCTAAGAAACTGACCAGAACACTGACCTTAAACAGGAGCCAAGCAGAAGCTAAAACCTCTTTGCTCTTCATCTGCTGGCAGATCACAAAGCTCAGTCCTGCAACTGTGACAGAGCTTTCTGGAGCACATTGCCATGGACATGTGCAATAGGTCCTGGATGCTGGGCATGCTGAAAAATGCAGTATTGCTCAACTTAGATTCAATGCTTCCAATAATTAGAGGTATGCTGGTTTTTGTTTGTTTTATATTGGAATATTCCAAGCACTGGGAGAAGCA